CTCTGGTTTTGGCATAGGAATGGTGCCACTCACTACTTGAGGGTGACTAGTGAACTGACAAGCAGCTGATTTGTAGTCTGAGTTTTGCAATTTTGATTAAAAGAGATAGCAAACAGACTTCATGACCGCTAGTCTATACCAAGAGAGATAGCACAGAGACTAGAAAAGCCATTTTCACAGAGACTAGAAAAGCCATTTTCCTTGAAATTGAAGAGGTAGAAAGAGAAGGAAAACTGAAACTATTTCTTGTGAGCCTAAGAATATTGCCAAATTCTGTCTCCAGGAAAATGTTGATAGACCTCTCAACCACTAGGAATTTCCTAATATAGAGGACTGAGATGATGCTTATGCCAGAAGAGAGAGAAAGAGAGAGTGTGAGAGGCAACAATGATCCTAAAAGATATAACTAACGAGGGAAAAAGAAAAAATAAAGATAGAATTGAAAATATTTGTTATTTACCATATGAGAAGCTTAAGGAACAAGAATCTCACATAAACTCCATACAGTAACTTGTTTCAAAAGGTACCTAATAGTTTTTGCAAGGTATAATCACATAAGTAAATAATGAAATATTTTCCTAATACTACTCTAATTGTTACTACCGACATTCTCCATCAATTGCACTTCAAACAGTAATAGTTTCCTTAGAGCCACAGAGATAGCACTTCAAAGCATTTACATTAGCCTGTGGGTGCCTGTTGTCAATAAAATTCTTCAAACAAGATAACTTAAGGAATAAGCTACCAGAAAAAAATTAGCTAGCATCGTCATTATCCACTCATATGCACATGCATGCTCAAGTACAAAAACATAAAAACACAATTTAAGCTAAAGGCAACTGTTGAAACAAGCTAGCAGAAAAAAATTAACTAGCACTGCAATTGTTTATTCACGTGCACATGCATGGTCAATTACAAAGACATAACAACATATTTGAGTAAGCTCATCAGCATTAATACTAACCAGCATTTGAAAAGGTGCATCAAGGTTTGCTTTTGGTGGAGGAACATGTCTTATGATGGCATCAAGCAACTGTGACATATTCCTTGCATCAGCAGGAGGATCTTTGGTGAAGGTGGAGGATGCCCACCCTTCTTTGGCAGATGCATAGAGAACTGGGAATTCTAGCTGCTCCTCTAAAAAACAAATGATTTATTCAAATTTCTAGCCAACTTAAATAAAACTTAAGCAAGTCAAAGTAACTTATTGAATAATGCAACTTATCAGTTTCAAATATTTCTCACCTGTAGCACCAAGATTTGCAAAAAGATCAAATACTAGGCTCTCTACTTCATCACACCTCTCCTCAGAGACTGCAAGATTAATGATCAACGTAAGGACAAAACAAAAAAATTAATGAACGATTCATACAATAGAACATTTACCTTCAACATTATTCAAACATTACCTTTAAGACTGGAATATGCATAAACGGGAATAGACTGGGCATTTTTGTTTATATGCTATGTCTTCTATGATATATTAATAAGAAAATCCCTAGAACTATTTCCACTTCCTGAGAATTTAAAGAAGAATGTATTGAGCATGAGCTCCAATATGAACAGATACTTAAAGGATAATTATTTTCAATCAAAATAAACAGTTGATCTTTTCTAAGGAGCTGAGGCAAGGTGATCCACTTTCAACTCTATTGTTCACCATCGTGATGGAAACGCTGAACAGGTTGTTGTTAAGAGCGAGCGAGATGGAGTTTTACATGGAGTGAAAGTGGGGGAAAATGAACAGATGGAGGAGGTAACCCATCTTTTCTTTGCTGATGCACCTTGGTCTTCTGTGCATCGGATGAGAAGATGATGCTTAATCTCATATGTGTTCTACTGTGCTTTCAAGCAGGCTGGGGCTTAACATTAAACTGACAAAGTCTGAGATGGTCAGACTGTGTGACATGAGGGATGAAACAAGATTGGCAAGTGTATTGGGTTGTAAAATGGTGGAATTACCTACTAATATCTAAGGTTACCATTAGGGTCCTTTTTTTTCAGATAAGCCTTTATGTCCAATTATAAAGATGAGAAGACATGGAACCCGGTGATTGATATGTTTGAAAGAAGATTAACAGATTGGAAGAGAAACATTTTATTTAAAGGTGGAATGTTAACACTTATAAAGAGCACGTTAGCTAATCTACCTATCTAATACATGTGTGTTAGTATAATCCCA